GAGCGACCCCTGTTCTTCTCCTTAGTTTCTAAACTAGCAGAATCGTGGGACATCAAAAGTGGGAAGTTTATTGTTTGTTGTTGGTTTTTATTCCTCACTCTCGTATAGGTGAACTTGGTTCGTTTAATTCTTAGGGAGAAGAAGGATCCGCTGGGAAGACTTGAGTAGTATCTTCATTAGCCGGAAGGAATTAGTCTCCACTAGCGTCATTTGAAGAACGAACAATAAAAAGGTTAATGTTTAGGTAGGATAGATGGATGTGGCCCAATGGCTAAAGCTCTGCCAGCTTCTTGTGGACTGAACTCTCTTCTCTTTAGGCTCCGACTTGTTTTTGGGTTGGATGGTCTAATTTATTTTTGCTACTAGTGGCAACGAAGTTCTTGGTAATTAGCAAGGGGGAAGGAGGATCTCCACTCATTTCATTCATTCAGTGCCTATGGCGAGGCTCGACCCACAACAAACGAAGGGGGAAAGCTTCCTGTAGCCCTTTTCTAGTAGATTAGGCTTGGTAAGCATAAGCTATTTAATGCATTACTAATAATTCTGAATATAAAAACTATATTCAAGTGAATATTATTAGTAATGCATATACGTTCATTAGTAATGAAAAAGTTTTTATAATATTTTTATATTCTAGTATGGATCGTACATGGACGGTAGTTGGAGCTAGCGGCTCTCCCAGGGTTCCCTCATCTGAGATCCCTGGGGAAGAGGATCAAGTTGGCCCTTGCGAACAGCTTGATGCACTATCTCCCTTCAACCCTTTGATCGAAATGTGGCAAAAGGAAGGAAAATCCATGGACCGACCCCATCATCTCCACCCCGTAAGAACTACGAGATCACCCCAAGGATGCCTTTGGCATCCAGGGGTCATGGACCGACCATAGAACCCTGTTCAATAAGTGGAACACATCAGCTATCCGCTCCCGGGTTGGACAGTAAGGGTCCGAGAAGGGCAATCACTCATTTTGCTTGCTTCATGGGATGCAACCCATGTTCTTTTCCTTTTAGTTTGTTTTTGTGTGATTTTAATTTTTTCTTGTTTAATGTGTGTGCTTCCATGTGCAGAAGAAGTATCAATGTCATCCCAATTCAATTGGTAATCCAAATATGCAGCAGATTCTAATATCAGTCACTCTGGAGAGTGAGATTAGTCACTCTCCCGAGTGTGCCTGCAACAAACTGAGTTGCTGTGACTGATTTGCCTTCGATTTCTTTTAGGCTGCATAGGATCTGTGCTTTATTTTAAGTTTGGGGGAATTGATGTATGCTCTGTTCATGTATAATTGTTGTTAGTTTATTTTGTTTTTAAAACAAAATATGGGAATTTTGGAAAACTGAAGCTGTTGACTTTGAAATTTTGTGCGTTTATTGCTGAAAGTTCTAAGACACTCAGGAAAGTGACTCATGTCACTCGGCAAAGTGACTCTGAACCTACTTGATGTTTGAAGTCAATTTATTTCTTTTATCCACCCATATATTTTATTTTACCTTTCTGTTTTGTTTCTTTTTTAGGTTCTTGAGACATCTTTTGTATGTCATATCCCTTAGTAGCTTGTTAATTCTGAAATTTGGTGTGCTTAATGTGTACTTGCTAGGCTTTAGTCTGGGGTAAACTTCTAATATCTTTATGAGCATTGATGCCATATCTAGCAAGTTTAGGGAGAATTTTCAGAATTTAGCATGTCCGATTGCATATGAGTCACCTAGTTCTTTCTGAGCATTATTGTTAAAAAGCTAAATCTATTTATAGAACTATGGTATTTCTAGTTTGTTGCTTTCTATGGTCTATGTGCTTAACTGTATGAACCAAGGAACTTCATGAGCTTAATTTTTGATATCTTTAGTCTGTGTTTCAATTCTAATCCTTGGTATTTGGTAAAACAAAATTTGCAGCCAAAGAAGGACTGTAAAGTCACTCCCACGAGTGACCAAAGTCATTCCAACGAGTAACACTGCAGAAAAATAAAAATTCTGAACTCTTATAGCTGTTGAATCTTTTTTGTGTTCTGATGTTGCAATTCCAGGCTGTTGTACAAGGATGTCGCGATCCCTTGTAAATGGAGTATATTTTGACACAACATAGAGCTTGCAACAAATCGAACAGATATGTTAAATGATGTGCATCATGAAGCCCTCCTCATCCATTTCAATTGCTCCAACTCAGGGAAGTCATCAGTCCTCTACCTCACTCATAGGAATGAGAATATCACTCCTGCGAGTAACCACACAGTTTTTGTTGTGAATTGTTTTTGTTTCTGTGAACTGTTTTTATTGTTATTTTTGTTTTTGTGTGATCTGTTTGTCAGCATTGGAGACAATGCTTTGAATAAGTTTGGGGGAGTAGTAGGGAGCATGTTTATAATTTTATTTTATTTTTTGATTTTTTGTGAATGCTAGTTCTATGATAATTGGATATCTATGAAGACTAATGTACTTAATTTCTTATATCTAATTCAAATTTTGATTTTACCTAACTCTTGGTTATCATCTCTACACTACTTAAGCACACATGCCTTTTATGCTTAGTTACATTGAAGTTGAGTTTTATAACATGCTCTGTGGTGTCCTAAATTGGTTAAAATATTTAAATGACTTTTCTTACTACCACTTGAATGCGAAGTGTGGTTTGTTTGCATGCTAAAGAGTTGACTAAGGCAAGCTTAATGACCCTCTCTAATACCTTCTTTGGGAATTGGTAGGCGGAATGCTCAAAAATGAGTAAATAAAAAAGTTCAAAAGAACTTGAGGGAGTATAAGGTAGAACATCAATGCTAAATCTATTAGAGTGAAATGGCAACAATGAGTGATCCTTTGGCCTGGAAAGCAAAGTCTCCTATCGAAAGCTCTCGGTAGGAGGGGTCGGAAGTTGGAAAGAAAAAGAATTATGAGTCATAAATAGAAAAAGCCAAAAGACTCGGAGGTAAATAAAAGGGAATGAGGGAGAATAGTTGTAAAGAAATGAATTGTGAGAGTCCTTATATCTCTGTGGCTGTATTGGCCACATTAGCATGATTGTGGTAAGAAAGAACAAGTCATAAAGCTAAGAAATATCTAAATATGCACCATGAGCTGTTATTTACCTTATACTAATTTGTTACTTTGCATACTTGGCATGACTCACACACATACAGAGGTGATTTCGTAAAGACTAAGTGAAATTCGAATTTGGATGAAGATATACTTGTTTTTCTTGCGTCTGAGATGTTGTATCCGATTGTCATATGAACTAGTTATGTTTGATAGTTGCTGTGAAGTTCTTGTGTGTTTGTTGCAGTGTCACTTCCCTGAGTGACTTTTTTTCACTCAAGGGAGTCAGTGGTTAGCTATTGTTTTCTTGTTTCTATGTGTAGTTCTTAAGGGGTTAGATTGTTTTGCTTGAGGACAAGCAATTCTTCCAGCTTGGGGGAGTTGATAACGGTCAAATTGTTACATAAAAGCATTGCAATTTTGCTCTTTAATTAGTTAGAAATTAGGGGTGTTTCTTAGACTTTGTTCATTTTACTTAGCTAGTTTTGTGTTTCTAAATAGGTGAGGACCAGAGTGAACAAATGCTGAAAATGGGGGCTTATGGAGCAATAATTGGGCTGCTGATTCCAATTTAAAATGAGGGCTGAGTTGGTCAAAAAGCAACTCCAAGACACAAGACACATTGGGAGTTAATAAGGGTGTCCCACAATAGAAACTAAAGAGCATGCTTGTCCCCTTGATAGCAATCTCGTAGACGAAGCAAATTTCGTTAATGCAACCATCAACAAGAAAGTACGAAGATAATTTTGTCTATCCCGTGAAACTCAAAAGAGTGCGGAAAATTCACAGTAAGACGATCGTTTATCTAAGTGATTCTATCTCTTAACTCAAACCAAGCAAAGAACACATATCCATGAAAGATTCGAATTAAACAACAACCCACGCTAAGAATAGCAAGGACACCATTCAATATACTCGATCAGTCATTAATCAAGAGACTCAAGAAAGGTAGGAGCAAACAATGCCCAACTATGAAGGAATACTATTGATTAGTAATCTTCATAACCAACCAAAGATATGCAACACATACACTATCTCAAAATGCTTATGCCAAAGCACAACTCATCCAACAAAAGTAGGACAAACCCCACAATGGATCTCATGATCACACTCATCATGAAATTCGAACACCAAGCCAAAGGAAAGGCTCATCAATCGAACTACTAGAAGTAGTATGAAAACAAGAAGTTTAGTTTTAAAACAATTCTATCAAGAAGCATACTTGAAAAGAATGGTTTCGCAAGATCAAAAGATCCAAGACAAGATGAAAACCCTCTTGGTTTAAACATACTTGACACGAAAAATGGACACTCCATTTAACAAAAATTCCTCACAGGAAAAACTCTCAAAGAGACAACAAAAATGACCACTCAAGGGTGCTTCTAAAATTCGGCCAAGCCTCCTATATGTAGGCTTGAATTTTTCGGCCAGCACCTCTAAAAAGAAGACCAATTAGGACTCTCTAATCTTATCCCACAAGGAGTAAAAGTAGAAGAGTTCTTGATCTCTTTGACTCTATCTAAAATCTAGGAAACCTTATCTAAATCACTTATCCTCAAGTAGGATAATATCTAGAAGGAATCTAAGACTCCTAATCAAACACTCTAGCTTAATTCAGTCCACATGACTTAATTAACTAGATAAAATTCGAAAATAACTCCTAGACTTAGACAATGACTCTAATCTCGAAATTCAGCTCCAAATTATTGAAGTAAAATGTCTTGAACGCCCTTCCAAAAGTGGAATATTGGTCTTGCGCCCCTTAAGTTGTAGAAACCTCTAATTTACTCCAAAACTTGTAGAATTCTCTTTATTGACTCCAAAAGATTGGAAAAACACTTGAAACAATTAAGATAGTTTGCAACCTATCCAATTGTGTAGCAATGGACTCAATCTTGAACACTTTGATCAAATAGGCCGTCCACTCATGAACCCAAATGACTCTTCTCACTAGCTTTGATCGATGATCTTCATGGAGCACACAGAGTCAAACTCTCTTGATACTCTTCAGCACTTATTTCCATGAGGTCTTCATCTCCTTTGGTTTGCACCCCAAAGTTAATGACATTCTCATCACCTTGATCATAGCTCTCTTGAACCAACTCCCTATCACATAGGTAGTCAAGATCCATCCTTTCTTCCTTGATTGGCCTGCAAAGTAAACTTGGCATTCCAAATCTAGAATGAAGGACTAACTCATTCCCCTTACTAGGAGAACCTTCATGGAAGGCTACATGATTCTCATCATCCCCTCCTTCTTTAAGAGGATTCGTCCTCGAATCATCAAGCTCTATACCTGCACAAGGAACAAACGAGATATAAGGGTTAGTAAAATCCTCACCCTCACCACACTCTGATTTTCTCTCATTGCGTGCATTTATTTCTTTTTCCACGCTATTTTCTTGGTTTTCTCTCGCCTCAAGTCTTACCTCATCGTGACCCTTTTTACTTTCTTACCCCTAAACTTTAGGGAGAAATTCGACCAACATGAGGAAAGGTGGCCGGCGGTCCCTTTGTGGATTGAGGGCCGAAATTCTTCTCTCCAAATGGGCCGTGTCCATTTGGTGTCACTTGCAGCAAATTAATAGTCTTGGGCTTGTAATCTTCAAGCTTAATTTCCTCCTTAGCCCATGTAGTAGTAATTAGACTATTAAGTGATTCATTCATCCTCTTGCGTCTAGCACGAGTCATTGGTCCAACAATGTTTGAAAGTGGATCACGAATGTAAGGATTATTCTTTAAAGCAGCATCTTTAGATCCTCCATTAGCATTCACGTCCTCAACTTGCTCGTCTTCTCCATCATTGGCAGCAACATGTCCCTCTTCATTAGTGTTAGCTAGATGGTCTCCATCATCCGGCCTCTCTAAAAATTCCAGAGTCTTCAAGATTTGACCGGAGAATTCCACAAGGCTCTAGACCGTTCCGTCCCATGTCCGTCTAAGAAAATAGCCCGTTTCGCATCAAACCACCAGAATTCGTGGTGAAGAAAAACTGTCCGTGACACCTTGATATGGCAACAGTCCTCTTCGGGTTAGTTTACCATCAAATCTGCTTACTTGCATCTAAGAATGCGGGAATTGGAGGACTCCTTATCTAAGAATTTTTGGAACAAACTAATTCTGTTGAAGATTTCTTTCTTTGTATGGAAGCTTTGCAACTTTCTTGTTTCCTTCCCAGAAACTTTGAGTAAGTTTGGAATACAAGTTTTTCCATCCATTTGCCTCTCATGTCGAGATCATGGTGATTCAGTATTGCATTGTTTTCTTGAATGCACGGCGAGCAAGGAGATATGGAAGTTTTTCTTTAGCTTATTTGAAATACCATGGCGGGATGAAGTAAACTTCCTTGCCATTATTCAAGAATTCGTCCTCGAATTCAAACCTTCATCAAAATCAAATGGAGATAGGTCAGAAACATTGAATGTAGCACTAACACCATACTCACCTGGTAGCGCAAGTTTATAAGCGTTGTCGTTGATTCTTGACACTACTTGAAAAGGTCCATCTCCGCGAGGATGTAACTTCGATTTCCTAGAGTTTGGAAACCTCTCTTTTCTCATATGTACCCAAACCCAATCACCTGGTTCAAATACAACTTGTTTACGACCACGATTCGCCGACTTTACATATTGTTGAGTCCTACGCTCAATATTGAGGCGAACTTTCTCATGCAGTCTCTTGATTGTCTCAGCTTTCTTAACTCCATCCAAGCTAACTTGATCCTTTAAAGGCAAAGGTGATAAATCTAAAGGAGTTAACGGATTAAAACCATAAACAATTTCAAAAGGCGAAAACTGAGTAGAAGAGTGAACAGTTCTATTATAAGCAAATTCAGCAATAGGTAAGCACTCTTCCCATTTCTTCAAATTACTCTTGATGATCGCTCTTAGGATAGCTCCTAAAGTACGATTCGTCACTTCAGTTTGACCATCAGTTTGTGGATGACTAGTTGTGCTGAATAACAACTTAGTACCCAACTTTCCCCACAACGATTTCCAAAAGTAGCTAAGGAACTTAACGTCCCTATCACTAACAATTGTTCTTGGAACACCATGAAGTCTTACTATTTCTTTTAGAAACAAATCCGCAACATGACGTGCATCATCTGTTTTTCGCAAGCAATGAAATGCGACATTTTAGAAAATCTATCCACAACTACAAAGATAGAATCCATACCTCTTTGAGTTCTAGGTAAACCCAATATAAAGTCCATAGATATGTCCATCCAAGGTTGTGTAGGGATAGGCAATGGCGTGTAAAGTCCATGAGGAAGCGATTTGGACTTCGCTTGTTTACACTCCACACATTGATTGATGATAGTCCGAACGTCGACTTCATTTTGGGCCAAAAGAAATGCTCTTGGAGCACATCCAAAGTCTTAGGCACACCAAAATGTCCCATTAAACCTCCACTATGCGCCTCGCGTATCAAAAGTTCTCGAAGTGAACACTTAGGCACACAAAGTCGATTTTCTCGAAATAGATAACCTTCATGTCTATAAAACTTTTCAAAAGCACTTTGCTCACAAGCAGTAAAAATATTGGCAAAATCAATATCATTACAATATAGATCTTTAATAAACTCAAATCCCATCAATTTTGCATCTAAAGAAGTTAGCAAAGTGTAACGTCTAGATAAAGCATCAGCAACAACATTTTCTTTTCCCTTTTTATACCTGATAATATAAGGAAATGTTTCAATGAATGCGACCCACTTAGCATGTCGTTTGCTTAGACGGTTTTGCGATTTAAGATGCTTTAGAGATTCATGATCTGTATGAATTATAAACTCCTTAGCCAACAAATAATGTTGCCAAGTCTCTAATGCACGAACCACAGCATAGAGTTCCTTGTCATAAGTAGGATAATTAAGACAAGCTCCATTTAACTTTTCACTAAAGAAAGCTATAGCACGTTTATCTTGCATTAAAATAGCACCAATACCAATACCAGAAGCATCACATTCTAACTCAAATGTCTTGTTAAAATCAGGCAATGCTAAAACAGGGGCACTAGAAAGGTCTCGTTTTAAGTCATTAAAAGCTTTCTCTTGGGCTGGTCCCCAAACAAATTTAACTTCCTTTTTAACCAACTCATTTAAAGGGGCAGCTTTAGTCGAAAAATCTTTAACAAACCTTCTATAAAAACTAGCCAAACCATTAACAGATCTCACTTGTGTCACAGTAGTTGGTGTAGGCCAATCCTTAATAGCTTGTATTTTAGATTCATCAACATGAATTCCTTTTGCACTAACAATGAATCCAAGAAACACAACTTCATTTACACAAAATGAACATTTAGGCATGTTAGCATAAAGTTTCTCTTCTCTCAATGTTTGCAAAACAATTCTCACATGTTCAACATGTTCTTGTAAATTTTTAGAATACACTAAGATATCATCAAAATATACAACAACAAACTTACCAATATAATGCCTCAAAACATGATTCATTAATCTCATGAAAGTACTAGGAGCATTAGTTAACCCAAAAGGCATCACTAACCACTCATACAAACCAAATTTTGTTTTGAAAGCAGTTTTCCGTTCATCTCCTTGTCTAACTCTTATTTGATGGTAGCCAGATTTTAAATCCACTTTAGAAAAGATAGTAGCACCATAAAGATCTTCAAGCATATCATCTAATCTAGGAATTGGATGTCTATACTTAATAGTTATCTTATTAACAAAGACGACAATCTATGCACATACGCCACGTACCATCTTTCTTAGGCACAAGTAAAACAGAACAGACAAGGGCTGAGAGATTCTCGAATTTGACCTTTAGCAAGGAGTTCTTCAACTTGCTTTTGTAGTTCCTTTGTTTCCTCAGGATTTGCTCTATATGCAGGTCTATTCGGAATGACTGCGCCAGGAATTAGATCAATTTGATGTTCTATTCCTCGTATAGGAGGAAGTTCATTAGGCAACTCCTCAGGGAATATATCCTCGTACTCTTGAAGTAGCCTTTGAAACACCTTAGGCAAATTGCTAGGAACTTCGGTTAGTAAAACAGAATTATCACGAAAAAGCATTAAAATCATACCTGTTCCTTTTGCAAAACTCTTCTCCACCGATTTGGGACTAGCGAAGAAATTGTTGCCCACTGGCTCTCGAATTTGTAGATCATTTGAAGATCTCTTTGGAACGTCCAAAGTAGATTCGTCTTTAGGACTCTACTCTTTCATTCGTTTCTCTCTTTCTCGCATCATTCTCAGATTACATTCTTGAACTTGAGGAGGTGAAAGAGGTTTCAGGGTATAGCTATGACCATTCATTACAAACGAATACTTGTTTGTGTATCCATCATGCTTTACTCTTCGATCATACCCCCATGGTCGTCCTAAAAGTAGGTGGCTTGCCTCCATAGGTACCACATCACAAAGTACTTCATCCTCATATTTTCCAATAGAGAATGGCACATTCACTTGCCTAGTGACTCTAAGATTGCCACAATCGTTCAACCATTGCAACCGATAGGGTGTCGGATGCTTGATAGTAGGTAACTTCAGATTATCTACAAGATATGAGCTAGCAACATTAGTACACGATCCTGGATCTATAATAGTTAAGCATACCTTGTCCATAACTCGACACTTAGTATGGAAAATATTGTGTCTTTGCTGATCATCTTCAGCTACTTGAGTTTGTAATGCTCGAAGGTTGACAAACACTTGTCCAGCCTCAGCATCAATCTCTACAACTTCTTTTTCGACTTTCTCAACAAGTCTTGGCATCTCGTCATCTTCTTCATCTGTTTCACTTTCGAAACTTCCATCCTCTTTAAGGATCACAGCCTTTAAAGTTGGACAAGCAGAAGCTATATGTCCTCGTCCCTGACATTTGAAACAAGCAACATCTCTAGTTCTGACTTTGTTAGTATTACTAGATGAAGTAGAATTCTTAACATTTGAAGATGGTTTAGGAATATTAGAAGTATTAGAAGTGTTAGAACTATTTCCCTTCTCTAACTTTGACGAATTACCATACTTCTTTGAATCATCTTTCTTCCATGGTGTAGAAGACTTATGTGGATCTGACTTCTTCTTTGCCAATTGTCTCTCCACAATCCTAGCTTTGTGTAACATCTCAGTTGGATCTAGGTAGTGTGAAAGCTCCACAACATCGGCAATGTTTTTGTTAAGTCCTCCTAGAAACCTCGCCATCATAGCTTCAGGTTCCTCTTTAATATTTGCACGTATCAATGCCAACTCTAACTCTTGGTAGTACTCATCAACAGACTTGATTCCCTGTGAAAGACTTTGAATTTGTTTACACAAATCTCGATAATAATAAGAGGGAACAAACCTTTTGCGCATGAGTCTTTTCATTTCATCCCATGTGGATACGGGATCCTCATCATAGAGCTTCCTATCCTTGACAACTTGGTCCCACCATTCTGAAGCATAGTTATTGAATTGGTAAACGACCATTCTAATCTTCTTAGAATCATCATAATCCTGCAATGAAAAAGCACGCTCTACCTTCTTTTCCCATGTAAGATAGGCTTCAGGGTGATAGTACCACTAAATTCAGGAATTTTACCAAGTTCATAAGGATCATTCCTATTGACAACACGATGAGCTCTATTACGATTTTCATTACCTTCATTACCTTGAGCGCGACCATTACGAACCTCTAGTTCTAGATCTTGTATTCTACTACATAATTGAGTAGTAACATTATACAATCTAGCAAGAGTTTCTCGCATAGCATCTTGAGAACGGTCGTCTCTTTGCTCACTATCATCTCCAGATGACATCCTTTAAGATCAAAGAACAAACGAATATATAGGATGTTAGTAGAAAACGTTCCTACCTCATTTCCCCTAACCAATGATCTTTTACTTTTCCCCCCTTTTGGTAGTATCACACACAACTCACCTTTTGTATGCTCTCTTTGGGATTTATTTGGCTTTTTCCCCAATATCAAAGTGGAATAGAAAGAAAACACTCAAGCCTTTTACCACTCAAGTCCTTTGGTAAAGTTCCAGATCGGCTTCAATGTTCAAGTAGTAGCAGTATGCACCACAACAATTAATTAAACAATCCACTCGAATAAAACACTCAAAAGTAGACAAAATCAAATAGCACGTAGAGTAAATTTAGGGAAATTCCAGAAAAGAACGAGGGAGAACACGAATCTCGTTCGAGTGTTTGGAGAAAATTTAGGATCTCGCTTTAGAAGTATAAGCAAACTCAAATGATATCTCAGACTCCAACTCAAACTCAAACTCTTATAGGATAAGGATAAGATTTTATGATAATCTTATCTTATACAAGATAAGATAAGGATAAGCTTTAAAGAGAATCTTATCTTTACAAGATGAGATAAGGATAAGATTTTATCCAATAAGATAGGATAAGGATAAGGTTTATCCAAGAAGATAAGATTAGGATAAAATTTTATCTTTTACAAGATAAGATAAGGATAAGATTTAAAGAGAATCTTATCTTTTATAAGATGAGATAAGGATAGGGTTTTATCCAATAAGATAGGATAAGGTTTTATCCAATAAGATAAGATTAGGATAAGATTTGAAGAGAATCTTATCTTTTCAGAGAATATAGGCAATTAAATAGCAAAGATAAACTCCCAATCAAACACAACTTTATCTAACCTTCTTAGATAGAGATAGACTTTGAATATACCTCTTCAAGAAGATTCTTTCCAACTTCACTTCCAACTCTTTTGAAATCTCCTAATGCAAGGCAACCTTTATGTAGCCAATCAAAGAAGACTCTTTTTTCTCTTTTTTTTTTTCTCTGCCATTTTCTTTTTTTTTTTTTTGTACGGCTATGGTTTTTTTTTTTTTTTTTTTGTAGGGGCGGCCGAGAACCCTAGACTCACACCAAAATTTATTATTTTTTTTGTACGGCCAAATCAAACAAACACCTTCAACACAAAAGCTCCTCCAACAATCAATGAATGAACATCAATCACCCTCAAGATATAGAGATCTTGGAACAAGAGATATATATCAAACACAATCACCAAAGTTTGCTATTGGATGATAACAAAACGAAAGGCACGAAACTAAAAGGAATTGTCCAAGTGGTGAACAACTCAAAAACAAAATATTACGAATGCCCTCTTTTGGGAGAGGAAAATTCGAAGAGAGGAAGAAAACAAGAAGAACAAAATCCGAATTTTGAGACCAATTATGGTAACCAAAGATGACTCTTGATATACCAATTATGGTTCTAAATATGCCAACTATGGTAAAACCATAAGAAGGCTCTGAATACCAAAATTATGATAGCAATCCGTAACAAAACCAATCTTTAAGAAAAGACCAACTTTACTAGTTCGGAAAGTCAGAGATTTGTAGGCAGCGGAATTTGGAAATTCGGATTTAAAGACTCTAAAACACAGAAAACAAAGAAAAGAAAAGATATTTGACCTCACGTGGATCAATTCACGAGTTCAATGGTAGAAAAACCCAAATCAAAAATGAAGAGAGCTAATTCTAACCAAGCAGAGACCCTTTTGAAAATTGTGTAAGAAAACCCAATAGATATGAGATCTATGAGCCCAAATACCAAGATTCAAAAGATCCAATGCTATAGACGCCACTATCAAGCGAACTAAACAAGATAGATAAGTCTAACAATTGTCACAGCACATATGCAACAATCAAACAAAGAAGTCCTCACAAGAACTCCACGAAAGGAATAAAATCCTAACCAATTTCACTCAGGAAAATTTCAAAATGACCAAAAGGTGTTGGACAAGAGGATTTCGGTCCCTTTATATAGAGGGGTGGCCGAAATTTCTATCCTAGAAGTAGAGGAAGAACACAACTCTTCACCTCTATTCCTATCTCTAAGAATCTGAATGAAATCAAACTCTAAAGACTCCTAGTTATCTTAAGTGATAAGATAACGAACCTAGACACTTTTACTAGTCTTAAAACATTTAAGACTTGTAGGAATTAATTAAAACTCCAAAATACAAAGAGATAATCTCTTAGAAAGATTCCAATGGATAGAATCTCCCTTGAGTTAAAACTCTATCATCATCTTCTTTGTAGAGTGATCTTAGCCATCCATTTTGATGTAGTCTTCATCCAACGGTTGAGTAGACATCAAAAGCTGACTCCTTATTGTAGGAAAACTCGAAAAACAAGTAAAAAGAATCATCAAATATTATCCTTTAAAGAGATAAAAGTCTTCTCTTTCAAAGAGATAAAATTTGAATGATCTTACCCCTAAACTTTAGGGAGAAATTCGACCAACATGAGGAAAGGTGGCCGGCGGTCCCTTTGTGGATTGAGGGCCGAAATTCTTCTCTCCAAATGGGCCATGTCCATTTGGTGTCACTTGCAGCAAATTAATAGTCTTGGGCTTGTAATCTTCAAGCTTAATTTCCTCCTTAGCCCATGTAGTAGTAATTAGACTATTAAGTGATTCATTCATCCTCTTACGTCTAGCACGAGTCATTGGTCCAACAATGTTTGAAAGTGGATCACGAATGTAAGGATTATTCTTTAAAGCAGCATCTTTAGATCCTCCATTAGCATTCACGTCCTCAACTTGCTCGTCTTCTCCATCATTGGCAGCAACATGTCCCTCTTCATTAGTGTTAGCTAGATGGTCTCCATCATCCGGGCCTCTCTAAAAAATTCCAGAGTCTTCAAGATTTGACCGGAGAATTCCACAAGGCTCTAGACCGTTCCGTCCCATGTCCGTCTAAGAAAATAGCCCGTTTCGCATCAAACCACCAGAATTCGTGGTGAAGAAAAACTGTCCGTGACACCTTGATATGGCAACAGTCCTCTTCGGGTTAGTTTACCATCAAATCTGCTTACTTGCATCTAAGAATGCGGGAATTGGAGGACTCCTTATCTAAGAATTTTTGGAACAAACTAATTCTGTTGAAGATTTCTTTCTTTGTATGGAAGCTTTGCAACTTTCTTGTTTCCTTCCCAGAAACTTTGAGTAAGTTTGGAATACAAGTTTTTCCATCCATTTGCTTCTCATGTCGAGATCATGGTGATTCAGTATTGCATTGTTTTCTTGAATGCACGGCGAGCAAGGAGATATGGAAGTTTTTCTTTAGCTTATTTGAAATACCATGGCGGGATGAAGTAAACTTCCTTGCCATTATTCAAGAATGGTTGAAGCACGGTTGCTTCTCCTCAGCCCGCAAATCTTTGATCAAGATTGCCCCGTCTTTCATTCTTTGGGAGATTTGGAAGATGTGGAACAAAATGCTTTTTGATGGTGAGGCTTTTAGTTGTGAAAGGTTGATCTCCGCAGTAAAGGTGGACTTATATAATGTCTTAGTAACTCATGAATTGAAGGCCCGGACCTTGGACGAGCGAGATTGGATTGAAAGTATTTCTGGCTTCCAACTTCAAAATGTAATGGGATATAGGTGTATCTCTGTTATTTGGAAGGCTCCGGAACATAGTGAATATGTGCTTAATACATATGGCTCTAAGATCCATTTGGATTCTGGTTATGGATTTTGCATAAGGAGGAATAATTGAGGCTTTATATATGGTGAAAGTGGCTTTATAGGGGATGGAGATAGCTTTGGTGTGGAGGTATATGGTGTGCTTTTTGGGGCAAGGAAATGTGACCAACTGGGTTTGCAAAAGGTGGCCATTCAAACTGATAATGAATCCTTAGTTCATATACTTGGTGATATGAAGCATGTGCCATGGAAGTATTATTTCCAATTAATGGAAATTCATCATATAATTGAGAGGCAAGATTACACAATTCAACACATATTTCGAGAAGCCAACTCAGTGGCGGATGGCCTAGCTGGTGAGGCGTCACTTGGAATATCAACCAGATATAACTCTATGAGTACTTTGCCTAGGCATGTAAGGGGACTTGTATGTTTATATCAGGTCTCCTTTCTATATTTACGAGCTCGTTATAAATAGTCTTTTGTATACTTGTAAGTTTTAAGCACTGCCAAGTTTCTGGTTCGATATTTAATAAAATACAAAAGGAAGGAAGCTAGGGAACTGAATGATATCTATGTCCATCCCTCGGGTATACCCCTTGGGTGCATACTATCATCCAGCTATAACTGCTTCAAAAATTCATCTCTTGGGTAGACCCCCTGAGTTTTTTTGAAGTAGTTAGAACCCGAGCTTTATGGCCTTTTCATTTATTTTTTTTTTAAAAAAGAACTTGTGGGTTGGAGAAGACAACACTGTAACAGGCAAAAAAAAAAATCTGATATTTGGTGTGCAGCAAAAAAAATACAATGTTGCATATGCTCTAAGTGTTGGAGTAGTTTTTGGAATTAAAAACGGATTTTACAAATCCGTCTTTAGGAGGAACCGGATTTCCGTAATTCTGATCTCCTCTATTTTCCTAATTAAAAAAATGTCTCCCATGTGCTTGCTTTGGATTTGCAAAATCCGAGGCCTTTACAAAATACAGAACCTCGGATTTTCATAATCCGAGGCCTTCAGAGAGTTTGGAAAAAAATTGGACTCGTTTTAATCAGTCTAAAACCTGCTTTAACAGCACCAACAACAACAAAACGTTACAAAAATTGAAATCTAACAGCAAAAGCAATAAACTTCATTCGATAAAGTGAAGAGATGCGAATATTTATCAAAATACATAACAAGTCACTAAGTTAACAAAATCAATCCGAAAACTAAATGATAAAAATACATCAACAGACTCTTTTTTTCCTTTCTTAGACGCATCCTGAGTGTATGTATTTGGCGGGTTGCAGTTCCTGTCTTCACTCCAAAGAAACGTGAGTATTGAACCCTGTTGTTGACGAGGTTGAGGTTGGGTTTGGGGTTGGGGTTCTGGCTCACCCATGGTGAGATATAGGATCCCAGGCTATGGTTGTGTTTCTTGATCAATGTTGGGAAACTCGACATGAATTTGCGAGCCTGAAGAAGAAATCTCGACATGAATTTTCGATGGTCTGAGGGAATCACTATTTCTCGCTTTCTTCCTCCTCCAATCTTATCTCTCGACCACGGCTTTGCTTTTTTACCTGTCAGAGGTTCTGCGGGCTGGGTCGGAGCATCATCAACCAGGATTTGGGTATTAGCTATGGGGATCTCATCATCTAGGCCAAGGGTTAAAGCACCGTGTGCTTGATCCACTATATCATCCAAAGTTTCCCCAAGTTCTTTGTCTAGAAGATCTTTGTCATGACGTTCTTCTCTAAACTGCTTGGCGACCATGCAAATGTTGCTCAATACTTTACCCTGAAAGGAAATTGGAACGTTAATTTATGGAAAAACAAATGCAATGTGACTTAGAAGGGTAAAATACAAAAATGGTAAAAAGATTTAAAAAAAATTAAAGGTAAAAAGAAAAGAACTCACATATACAGTAGAACGTCGGTAAATTAATAATCTATAAATTAATAACTTCTAGTAATTAATAATTTTTTTCGGTCCCAACTTGGGATCGGTACAGAAAGTGAATAAAATCGACAAAATAATAAGATAACAATGTTTCTGAAAATCTCCTATATTTATATAGGTCCCAACAATACTATAAATTAATAAATACCCCAAAAGAAAGAAAATAATACTAACAATTATAAATATTTACTAAATTATGAGCTGATGATACTTATTTTTTAATCTGTAGAGATGATATGAACTATGTATGGACTTTTAGTATTCAGATTTAGTTTTAATACTTGATTGGCTCGAATGTAAAGGCAATTGCAAATTAAGAAATTTACGGTTCTTTTTTCTCATAGAAATTCTCTAAATTAATAATTTATTAATTTATCGATTATTTAATAATTATCTAAATTAATAAATTTAGATAGTCCCAACACTATTAATTTATAGAAGTTCTACTTTACTTTCACTTGGCTCGAAGAAGTCTCATATCCGAAAGGAGTGTAGTTTTTGGGATTGGAAATAAGTTTGGCGGTATTGTTGATGAACCATTCATTGTAGTCCTCGGATGTTTGGCCAGGGAATCCAAGTTCCAAATCATTTGGAACATATCGTGCTCTCCGGGGCCAGTGAGGACGTACCTCGGCATGGTGAGTCTCCCAATTCTTCTCAGGTAGGCCCGACAGGCTGTGAGCATGATCAAGTCGCCACGCTTTGATGTCCGAAATCATAGGATCCTAAAGAATACCCTATATGTACCCAAACTGTCTCGCAACCCTCACCGACTCGTGTGGTTCTCTAATAGCCCAACAAAACATCCACGTATTGGCCATCCAAATGGTTTGTCCCGCTTTATGGAAATCAGGGAGTTTAGGAAGGATGATCGCATAGGTTTGCCACTAAAACTGTAGAAATGAATTTATTTAATGGGGAAACTGGGGAAAAAATTCAAATTAAATATAATGGCCAAAAAGAAATGAGTACTTACGTTGGTAACACGTAGGCTTGTTAATTGATCTCTAAAAGGTGGCGTGTTGCTCCTTGTGACGTCTTGGTATGTGTACGAACATTCCCACCTTAATGATCAAACACGAAATTGTTATTTTTTAATCCAAAAAAAGAATAAGAAAACAAAGGGTAAATATTAAATTATTTGCCTCTTTCAGATACTCACCGCTGAGCTAATGGAGCGGTATCAACAAGTATATATTCTACCGGTACTCTTTGTGGTGCGATTCTTGGGATCCGCTCGTACGCCCATTTCTAAATAATTTTAATAATGAACACTTCAAATTATAACACTGAAAAACAAAAACAATCATAAGACTAAATGAAAACTATTACAAACCTGTAGAAGATATACACAGCCGATGATGTCCTTCCGCTCATAGTTGATTGCCTTGCACAAGCCAGAGTATAAACAAGCGAGCAGGGCCGATCCCCAACTATATCGACTATACTGGGCCAAATGCCACATGGCTTAGCAACTACAGACTTATAGTGTTTTGACTCTTGCTCGGAAACATAAAAGTGGCCATAAAATACAAGATTAATGTCCGTGCCATTTGTTGCAATCGCTCGACTGAGGAACCCTCAGGGAGTGAACGTATCATCTCGCCCTCGAAAACCCCTACCTTGACAAAGCTACCGGATATTGCGCTCAACAACCCTGCATTCTGATCGGATCTCACACTTACGATTGTATCCTGTACAACATAATACCTCAAATGCCTTATAAAAAATGCAACCGATAAAATGTGCATGCTTACAGTATAGACCACGGCAATAAGCAACTTACCCTTGAATCCTCCGTGCAAGTGTGTTCCATCAATACAAATTACCGGTGGACATTCAAGAAAAATCGCAGCTACTGGTGCAAATGACCAGAACACATATTTAAATGTCCTATTACCCATATTCCAACCAACTTCTCCTTTCTTCCATTCCCACTCTACTATAATAACAGGATTAGTACTCTTAGGCGCAACGATATACCTACATAACAAACGTGTCAAAGTTAAAACATTTCAATACATGTAACCCAAAAAGAAAAAAACACAATTAACAATTATAAAAGTTAATATTTACCTAGGAAGTTCTTCAAAATTTGAGGACCAATCGCCATAGACCTCTTATATGGCTTTTCTCCTCCCGTTCCACGCCCTTTTGTATGGCACATCTACTTTTAATAAATCCTTCACAACTTTCTGTACCGAGGCCACCGTATAATCTATGTTGTCCTCAACCTTTCTCCTAATGAGTCTAGCAATCAAAGACGCGTCCACACACCGATTGTCATTGTCATTAACGGGCGTCATGCAATTATGTGCATCATACCATCTCACTATTTCATGAAGGTCATGCTCTTTCAAAGACACACGCATCTTCAATTTACATGGTAGATCACCATCCTCACTTGGTTCATCTAATGTCCTGCACTGCACCGCCCATGTTTTTGGGCTACTCATGACAACCCTATTTTCTCTTTTATGATAGATGTTCCACAACGTCACAACATGTTTTACTTATGCTTGGGACTTGAAAGAAACATTAATGTCCATTCTTTTTGGGGTCTCATCCCACACCTTAAGAGAAAACTCATCCTTGTCCACACATATGAGGAATCCCATTTCCCTATCTTACTATGTACATGGTGCCGGGGCAATGGATTAAGATCCCTTTCCTCATTTTGTAAGAATTCATCATCACTTTCCTCTACATCACTATCTGAAGAGAACTCACGGCATTCTTCGCTTTCGCTTGGAGCTACGTAGTCGGAATCCTCCTCTTCCATGTAGTCATCTTGTGGAAAGACAAATGTCTCCTCTTCATCACAGTTTTGAGAATTACTAGCATGTTCCCACCTTGGAAAACCACCCTCCATATTGTTTTCCAAATTCTCTTCTCTTTCTTCGTGAGTGATATCTTCCAAATCTAGGTATAAATCCAAACATGACATTGGAGCTACACGGTTCATGAACTCTACATGTGAATCATTCTTGATCTTCACTACACGCCTACCACCGGGACTATAAAATATTACAGAAAGGTGTTGTTCACGAGTGCTGGATCCCAACCAAGTATCACACAAATCTTACTAATGAATTCGACATATGACAACCTTTCCTCAACAAATAAGGTATAGTCCGGCAAATTTGAAAAAGTGTTGATGATACCATTCTCCATCACATACTTACTTGAATGAAACAAATTATGCATGTATGATACATTACATGTCATTTCTAACTGTTTTAAAAGATCATCAATATCTAATCATTTCTTAAACAAATAATGATGTCTTTCAATAATTAATCCTCCTATACTCCTTTACATTTTCAAATTTTATATTACACTACTAAAATAATACTCCGTATAGGATAAAATAGCATCATTAAAGTTAAACTATCACTTGTAATAACAAAATCAACAAATACATCATACATACTCCATTCTAAATTTAAAAAACCTACAAAATGCTAAAATACGTAGAAATCAACTTCCATATCTCATGAAATATAATGAACAAAAATGATTTCTCATTTCTAACCTAAAAATCAACACCTAGAACATACAAACATTCAAACATCCAAACAATCAACAAAGAAAAACCCTAAACTATCATACATCATTCTAACAATCGAAATAACACAAAAACAAACAAAATACCATGCTTTTACTCACGTCTTTCAAAAAACGATTCCTAACGCATTTAGCGGTAAGGTTGTATCAAGAACTCCAAATCGCCACCCAAGAGCCGTAGAATCCCCCCGAAAAAAAACTTTCAGTTCTTGATTGAAAACTTTTTTTTTCCCTTTTATATCCCTATACATTCTCATTTCCGAAATCCGAATCAATAAGAAACTCAGATTTCACAAATCTGGACGCACAAAGAATCGGATTACTGAAATTTGAATTTAGTTCATTACAGTTTTTTTTCGTTTATTGGTCCTCCAATTTATGATAGATCCCTACTACTACCAACCAAAATTTAATGCAAACGGATTACAAAAATTCGAGGTTCGTGGTTCGGATTAGCGAAATCCGTGTTTCTTATTCAAATATTTCGCGCCAATATTTTTGTAGCAAATTATTTAAATTTATTGGATTCGGATTATGGAAATCCGATTGTCACTGTTCATGTTCTGACCTTTTTTACTATATTTTCAAAAAATAAAAAATCCTATTATTTAAATATTAAATGGTAACTCGGATTTTAGAAATCCGAGTGTTTAATTTTAATCCCGATTCAAATTTTGCAAATCCTAGGCACATATATATGTCCACATATATTTGAAAAATTAATTTTGTCTACCTCTTTTTAAGGAATTTTTTTAAGTAAAAGACCCATGATTCCTCACGAATTATTTATAAACTGCAGATTAAGGCCATAGATTTTTCAGATCATTCAAAATTACCCCTCTTCCAGGTGCTTTGTTTATGCCTCTATTACCCAATGGAGTTTCGGATAACTTGTTAGGTACCGTTATCACACATTTTTTTTCCTCTCTATTCCAAAATAAATTTATACTTTTTACATTTTGAAGCTCTGTTTGGACTATGAGTCCAAATTTTATTTTGTGATTTTGTGTACTAGAAACATTTGGGAACACGTTTGTTTTGTGCTTTCAAAAAACATATTTTTTCTATTATTTTATTATTTTTCTCGCACCAATCACCATCTTGTTGACCACATTTGACCACCACCTGCTGACAGACCACTGCCGGCTGCCCTAAATGCCATCCAACTTTCAACGACTTTGCTTGAATTTTGGCCAGCTGGTCGTTGGCCGGTGGTGGTAAGCCGGTGGGTGGTAATCAATGAAAAATATTTTTTTTTGTCCAAACGCATTCTTGAAACTAAACTCAAAATCTATCTCAAACACACAAACACAAAAGATCAAAAAATACAAACTAAAACACCGATCCAAACGGGTAATCTCTATATTATTTTTCTCCTTAAAATATATCCAAAATTTTTGAATGAATATATTTTTTAATCCGTTCGTGAACTATCAAAACAAGTATTATATAGAAAATTTATAGTATTTGACAAGATCTATCTTACAATATCCAAATTAAATATTTTTTGAACTTAAAAATTTTTAAGGAGTGACCATGTGTAAAGGGCGGGCATGTGTAAGAAGAGAGTTTAAATCAGTGCGGCTAGTGTTTACGTAGCCTTTTGTTCCTTGCGCTAGGACAATTTGAGGGTTCTTTTTTTTCGGCAGAAGTATCAAAGCGAGTATGTGTAAGGAGCGGACATGTGTTAGGGAAGAGTTCAACCTTGTGGCTAATGTTCACATAGCCTTCTGATTTGTGTATATGGTCGCCTATACGGTACAGTGAAAATAAAACTAATCTTTTTTTTCCAGTAGAAATATCAAAGCGAACATGTATATCGGGAATGTGTAAGGAGATATTTCAAATTGGTGCGGTCAATCATTCAGATCCGTGTGCTTGGGCGCTAGACAAAAGAGCAGACAACTGAGTTATCGGAGCGAATATGTGTAAGGAGCGTACATGTATGCAGAAAGAGTTTAAACGAATATACAATTTCTTTACTTCTATCCGAAAACATTTAAAACATTTTTACATTTGAAAATATATTCTATAGGGAACTTATTGGATAGATCTTGTCGAATAATATAATTTCATAGGTAACAAATTTTCTAATTCTTCACGGATTAAGAGATAATTTATTTGAATATTTTGGACATTTTTTTAAAGGAGAGAAAAAAAATTTAACAAGGACCACAACTGTAAAAAAAAAAAATAAAAGACAGATTATTTAGAGGATGGAGAAAAAGTGTGATAAAGACCACAAGTGCAAAAATAGGAGGGGATCCATGATGGATCCGATTCCACCTAAGAATTTTCCCTTTATAATCTGCTGCTTAATACAAATAAATTATGAAATTTCAATATCAGTCAGATATATCCTATGGAACCATAATTTGATAAATTCATCACATAATCTTCAAAATAAAAAAGTAATCCATATAACAGGTAAAACGCCACGGAGTCCTGTATTTACTCTTTCTCCTCTTTCTTTATTTTTAAACAAAATTTTCTACTGATTATGATAGCAATTTCATAGACAAAGCAAATTTTGTTAATGCAACCATCAACAAGAAAGTACGAAGATAATTTTGTCTATCCCGTGAAACTCAAAAGAGTGCAGAAAATTCACAGTAAGACGATCGTTTATCTAAGTGATTCTATCTCTTAACTCAAACCAAGCAAAGAACACATTATCCATGAAAGATTCGAATTAAACAACAACCCGCGCTAAGAATAGCATGGACACCATTCAATATACTCGATCAGTCATCTATCAAGAGACTCAAGAAAGGCAGGAGCAAACAATGCCCAACTATGAAGGAATACTATTGATTAGTAATCTTCATAACCAACCAAAGATATGCAACACATACACTATCTCAAAATGCTTATGCCAAAGCACAACTCATCCAACAAAAGTAGGACAAACCCCACAATGGATCTCATGAACACACTCATCATGAAATTCGAACACCAAGCCAAAGGAAAGGTTCATCAATCGAACTACTAGAACTAGTATGAAAACAAGAAGTTTTGTTTTAAAACAATTCTATCAAGAAGCATACTTGAAAAAGAACGGTTTCTGCAAGATCAAAAAGATCCAAGACAAGATGAAAACCCTCTTGGTTTAATCATACTTGACACGAAAAATGGACACTCCATTTAACAAAAATTCCTCACAGGAAAAACTCTCAAAAGAGACAGCAAAAATGACCACTCAAGGGTGCTTAAGAAATTCGGCCAAGCTTCCTATTTATAGGCTTAGAATTTTCGGCCAGCACCACTAAAAAGAAGACCAATTAGGACTCTCTAATCTTATCTCCCAAGGAGTAAAAGTAGGAGAGTACTTGATCTCTTTGACTCTATCTAAAATCTAGGAAACCTTATCTAAATGACTTATCCTCAAGTAGGATAATATCTAGAAGGAATCTAAGACTCCTAATCAAAACACTCTAGTTTAATTCAGTCCATATGACTTATTTAACTAGATAAAAATTCAAAAATTGACTCCTAGACTTAGACTAACTCTAATCTCGAAATTCAGCTCCAAATTGTTGAAGTAAAATGTCTTGAACGCCCTTCCAAAAGTGGAATATTGGTCTTGCGCTCCTTAAGTTGTAGAAAACTCCAACTTACTCCAAAACTTGTAGAATTCTCTTTATTGACTCCAAAAGATTGGAAAACACTTGAAACAATTAAGGTAGTTTGCAACCTATCCAATTGTGTAGCAATGGACTCAATCTTGAACACTTTGATCAAATAGGCCGTCTATTCAAGAACCTAAATGACTCTTCTCACTAGTTTGATCAATGATCTTCATGGAGCACACAGAGTCAAACTCTCTTGATACTCTTCAGCACTTATTTCCATGAGGTCTTCATCTCCTTTGGTTTGAACCCCAAAGTTAATGACATTCCCATCACCTTGATCATAGCTCTCTTGAACCAACTCCCTATCACATAGGTAGTCAAGATCCATCCTTTCTTCCTTGATTGGCCTGCAAAGTAAACTTGGCATTCCAAAACTAGAATGAAGGACTAGCTCATTCCCCTCACTAGGAGAACCTCCATGGAAGGCTACATGATTCTCATCACTTAAAGTTGGCACAATTCAACTTCAAAGACCTTAAAACACTTTGATACCAAAAACTGATATCACTAAAAATTCATTCCTCATCACATGACAAAGAAAGTTTTTGACTCAAGTTAAGAATCAAGAAAAATCCAATGATAGGAAGATCCACTAATTCGATTCAATCTCAAAGTGTAAAACTCGAGAAAACAAGAAAACCAACATTTGTTACTTTTGAAAAATCTTTTGACA